TGGTATTTTTGATCGACAATCATTGTGATTTTTGTTTTGTTTTAATCATTGTGATTTTTGTTTTGTTTTATTTTGATATATATATATATATATATATTAATTTTTTTGAGTCAAAACAAGCCGAACACGAACGAACAAATCCTTGTTGATGTTCGGTTTGTTTATACATCGAGCGCAAAAAAAATGCTAGTGTTCAGCTCTCTAACTTAGCAAATGAATCCAACACGAGCTTCTTAACGAGCCGAACACAAGTTGTTCGCGAACAACGAGCCGTTTAGAGAGCCCTACATGGGGGGATATTATGTCCAAAACTCGGCCAAAATCCCAAAGACAGTTCCACAGTAGGATTACTAATTTATGTTTAGATATTTTTTTAGACATATCTACATAATTACATACATTTTACTTAATTCTTTGTATTTAGATATTACTTGCACATCGAAAACATGTCAACATGAATCATGATGTCGCCCCATGAACAACAAAGGAAGCAGTGGCTACATGTCTAGCCAATTAGTCTCCCTTACTTTGAAGGATGGGTCGTCCCTCATGATTAGAGAATGATTACTCCTAAATAAACTGATGGGTCAAGCCTGTGCAAATATATTCATCACCTTCATATTCACATCAAATCAAAAAGGGATAATAGGTCTTTCAACCACAGGATGATTGGTGCAGGCTCTCAGCAAATAACCACTCCACCACACGATTGACCGGCCCTACAAGCTCACGGTCTGAAAGGGTGTCGGCCAGATTCATCGTCGGGCCTCGCAAGCAAAATTTATGAACATACTAGGGTACCCTGCAGTACCTAGGAATTTTAGGGGTACAAGATGTAAATGTGGACTAATAAACTTCTTTAAATAGAGGGCCCATTTTATGAATAGGGGTTAGGTAATTTTTGCGGCTCCATGCACTGCTTTCTCTCTCTGTCTCTCTCTCTATCTCTATCTTTGGTGCTCTATTTCTTGTGCGTGCCTCCAAGACTGGTTTGGATTCAACATTTTATATGGTGCGGTGAGAGTGAAGTCTTGTCATAAAAAAGAAGTGGAGCATAGAGATCCCAAATAGATGGGAGTGACTAAGGAATTGTAGCTAACATATAACCCTTATGGGACAACATTGAGGAATGCATGCATAGCATAACGTAGGAGATAAGGACCCAAATCATTTTGGTGGTGACGGGTCAGACCGTCGAGGGCTTGAGAGCCCTCGCAGTCTTGGCCGGGTCCTGCAAGAACAAGACCGATCTTTTGAAGTGACAACAATGCACAATGGCTAGAAGGCGAACCCCGATCCAAGGGGAGCCGATGACTCCTAATACCAATATAGCACGGGATCTAAGCATGTAGAAAAGCAATGTGCATATCGCACCAAAGTGTCAAAACAACCGGAGAACACTTTCTCCCTTCAAATATCTGCAGGGAAACCTCCAAAAAAATTCAAGTTGTCGACTTTGGAAGTCTGCAGGGGGTAGTTAGACCCTGACACCAATATTGATACATTTGAGTTGCCTATGTGCTTACTCAAAATCTCAGACATGTTAAATTGTCATTTTCTCTTTACCATCTTCAGATATTCACCCCTAAAGTGGTTCCATAGACTTTCCACTGTAAGTATCAGTAGTTTTGTTGATTTCAAGAGGCTGAAGACCCACCAAGAGTGTTCATTCCTTATGGCAGCTCAAGCAAGGAGAGCACGAGAGTCTTCACACATTCATCACATGTTTCCAATAAGAAATTTTGGAGGTAAAAGACCTCAAATTCGATGTGGTTGTGATTGCCTTAAAGGAAGCCCTGTGGTTTGAGAGGTTATCTTGCGACCCTAATATCAACAAACCCTAAGATTAGGCGATGCTTTTGGAGAGAAACAACAAACATAAGTTGGCAAAAGAAAGCACCCCCAAGCTGGAACTAGAAGGCTACTCGACCCAAAAGAGAGCCCCTTCAAGCGGTGAAACAAAAGAAGAGAGGAACACATACCACCCATGAACCATTGTTTCGAAGAAGGCTAGCCCTCCCGAGACAACGAAGAAACATAATAGTACCAGTAACAAGGTTGGCTGATGAGAAACCAAGACCCTCAACTAACCCGGTACTATAAAAGGCCAATGCAGCACTACTAGCAGCCTTACGGAGATTGTAAGGGCCTACAAGCCACTCCTATAAGGGTGTCAATAGCATAAATTGTGGACACCATCCAAAACAAAAAATATTTTAAAGACCGATCACCGATGAGAGTCGGAGAATTGCTCCGAGACGCAAGAAAATATTGTAAATAACATCAGGATCATGACCATGACACAGAGGAATTTAGAAATTTCTAGAACCTTATCAAGGAGTTAATTGAGGCTAGGAAGTTGAAAGAGTTCATGGCCACAGGTATTCAAGTTAGAGATAAGAGAAAGTGCCAACGTTAGAGGCTCTACCCGTGCCTGCTCGAATGAACATCACCCATGTCGTAAGAAAAAACCCTTGAATATTTTTCTTCTTTTCTTCACTCTACTCGTTACCTTTTGTATTTTGTGCATGGACGATCGCCTATGAAATCTATTTTTTGCATTTCTTTTTAGACCGGCCACATTACTTTCGGTTAAAAATACATATGAAATAAGTATGTGCTACACTAACTGAAGATCCAAAACATTTAGGTTGGAAAAATGCTTGGGGAACTGAGAGAGAAGACAGGAAAGAAAACCAAAAACTCAGAAGAATAAAGACAGCCAGTCATGATGCCAAGATTGCCCGACTGAGCATTACTTGAAGAACAAATGGCCATAGCACCAAGTTCACCTGGTTGAATAACAAATGAAGATAGCCAGTCGTCGTGCCAAGATTTCCTGGTTAATTATTACTTAAGGAATAGTTGATCGTGGTGCCAAGCTCACTCGACTGAGCAACAAATGAAGATAGCCAGTCGTGGCGCCATGGTCACCCGACTAAGCATTACTTGACAAAAACCAGGTCGTGGCGCCAAGATCGCCCGACTGAGCAACAAATGAAGATAGTCAAACGTGATGTCAAGATTGCCCGACTGAGCATTACTTGAAGCACAGTCGGCCTTGGCACGAATTTTGCCCGATTGAGCAACAAATGAAGATAGCCAATCTTAGTGCCAAGATCATGGGGACTAAAAATCAAAATTATCTAACTTATATTTATTTTTAAATTAATTAAATACTCTAAAACTTATTTAAATCATAACTAATTAAATATTAATGACCTTGACTTGAAATTTAGAGGGTTTATTTTTCATGGGATTAGGAGTGTTCCTTGAATTTTCCAAAGTCAGAGAACACTTCTAACCCTAAAAGCCCTAATTTTCAAGGCTTGTCACATATTTTTTTATTAAAATAATTATCTAAATTAAAATATAAATTAGAAAATTATGAGATTTTTTTTTGTAGGCTCAATGTGATTAGAGGAGCATAAGAAAAATAAAAACTAAGTTTAAAGTTCTTTAAAATATAATTTTCTAATTTAAGTCATTAAAGCTCATAAAAAATTAAAAAAATAAAAAATAATTCAAAAAATCACCAAATTTGATCCATAGTGAAGATAATGAACATATTAAGCCTCTATAAAAAATTTGAAACCCATTCGAAATGTATTTCATATCAAGATCTATTTTTCTAAGTAAATGAAATTTTTGTAATAAAATAATTATAATAAATAAAATATAATTAAAAATTTTGAAAAATGATTTGGAGTGTTCCTTGTGATTAGAGACACTCAAGAAAAATGGAATTGATGCTAAAATAAACAGTTCAGTTTTGAACTAATTTTTAATTTAAAAATAATTAATAATAATCAAAATCTCAAAAATACAAAAGTGCTCCATAATGTCACAAATTGTTCCTTGATCACTAGGGACCATTTAAAATATTTTTTTCAAATTTTCTTAATGAAGTTATGTATTTTAAATGTAAAAAATGTATTTTCTTTAATTTTGCATTAAAATAATTACAATAAATAAAATAAAAATCATAAGAATGTAAAGTTTATTTATGCGAGTTCTCTTAACTTAGAGGAACTAATGAAAAATATAAAAAGTAATTTTTACAATTAAATTATATTTTCTATTTAATTAATCACCAAAATAAACAAATAATTATAATTATTAAAATATAATTCAAAAAATTTTGAAAGTTGGTCCAAGTGATCCTCGTAGGTGAACCTTCAATAATTTTCCTAAAGACAGAAACTTTACTTTGATTAATCAAATGAATTAACATTGAAAATCCTATTTTTTGAGTAAAAATAATTATAAAAATTAAATAATACTCAGAAAATTATAGTTTTCCCTCTGATATTTTATTTGAACCATGAGTGGGGCACTAAGAAAATTTCAAAGTCACTTGAGTTAAATTTAAGAAATTATGAGGTGGAGAGCATTAAGGGCAAAATGATAATTATGAATTTTGAATCCCTAATTAAAATTTAAGTTAAGTCAAAGGGTAAATGAGTAATATTGATCATAATAAACTTCATTAGATATTTGAAACATGAAGGGTTAAGAGGTAGAAACCAATCCATCACTTTTCTACAACAAGGGTAAAATTGTAATTTTTTTAAATTATTGTGACTTGGAAGTTAACCTAATTGGTTGATTCCAAGGTTGT